CATTTCTGTATATATATATATAACTCACCCCACCTCCACCATCCCTGCCTCTCCGACGATCATTCCGGCGATTGCTCCGATTCCTGTGAATATTATAGATAACCGTTCCGCCTTCTATTTATTCCATCGACTGGTCCAATTTTGACGACTATTCCGGCAACAACAACGCCATACTTTTAAAGTCATATATTTATACAACATGGTCACAGATTCACAATTTTGTAGGTCACAGTTCAAAAATTTTGTAAGTCACAATTAATTCGTTGATCACAGATTTCAAAGTTAGTTGGTCACACGGTCACAGGTTTTTTCACGGTCACGAATTATATAATTTTTAGGTCACAGATTTTTTTCACGGTCAATTGTGAACTCAAACATGTGACCAGTGATCTGTGACATTTTCAAATTTATTGGTCACACAATTTTTTTTTATCAAAAATCACATATTTTATAGGTCACAACTTATTAAAATAATAGGTTAAGTATTATTTTTCATTCACAAGTCACAAATTTGGCAAGTCAAAATGTATTTTATGGTCACAATTAACCAATTTATTGGTCACAAAGACTGTACAATACCACCTCACCACCGTCTCACATACCCTAACCCTACTCCGTCGTCGCTACCATAGCCGGCAACTCACCACAACCACAAGCATTATCACCAACGCCGCCAACACAACTAGCAACTCACCACAACTGTCGTCGTCGTCGTCGTCGCCAACACAACCTAACCCATACTCCACCATCCCGCAACCCCACATCACGCGATGTCACCACCATCAACACCAACGGCTCCTTCACCACCACCCACAACAACAAAAATAAGAAAAGAAAAATGCAGCGCCACTCAGATCTGGATGTACATATAGACCACCACCACCCGTCACAATACCACCACAACTGTCGCCGCCATCACCGCGACCAACCACCGCATATCATTAACGCCATATCCACCACCACCATCAAAACCACCTCATCGAACCATCAACACTAACAAAACAGATCCAAAATCGCCCCTACACCCGTAGTCGCTGCCTCCACCACCACTGACATCACCACCACAATTTTCAACCACCACCACAACTCCATTTCCACCCCCACACACCTTCACAAACCAATTAACAAAAAACCACAAGGTACCAACACCTGAACGCATCGCCAGATCCGCCACGACCTGTACTACCACCATCACCGCGACCAACCAACGCACATCGTTGTGGCCAAATCCACCACCTGTAGCACCACCATCACTACCAATTATAGCATTGGCAGGGGTGAAACCACTCTGCCACTGTAGTACCACCATCACTGCGAGAAGCAGCTTTCTCTCCACCGCACTTCCTCTCCACCATCACTGTCCTAAAAATCGCACGTCCACCATTGCTGCTTCGCTGTGCAGTGCCGCTTCATCTCCCTTCCACATGACCGCCATCGAGGGTTGCTGAGCGCCAGCGACATAGATGAAGAATTCGGGCTGACCGGAGTGTTGACCACTTCAGAAGACTCTAGAACAGTCGAAGGTGGTGATGTAAGAGGTTGTGATTGTAGTGGAATCACCGGCGGTGTTTACAATAAATCAAATATAGAGGGGAGAAATGGATGGGGAAATGAGGTGGGGAAGATAGAGAGAGAGAGAGTAAGGGAGATGGAGAGGAGAAGGTGACGGTAATTAGGGTTTGGTGGGATGAAATTAATTCCTAATTAGATTGGGAAAATTGTATAATTAATGTTTAATATTTAAATAAAAAACTTATTATTAATATTTAATTAAATATAAAAAACATGTATCTATATATAAAATATCTTATTTTTGAAACTTAAAACTTAAAATCTGATTTT